GCCTGCCTGTACCCTGTGCAGGGACACTGCAGCAGCCACCACTGGCTGGACCTAGAGGACGTGCCTGGAGACCATCCTGTAAGGGAAAAAGTACGATGGCACACACAAAGAGTGAGCACCTCTCTGGGCCAGGCCGGGACAGCTAGAGACTCAACGAGGTGCACGGCACAACGGTGCGCACAAGGAGACCCCGTGCAGCCTGCCTGTGAGCACAAAGACAGGCCCGCATATGTGCCCACTCAAGGAGACTGTGGCCTTCGCACAGCACAATAGTGCATGGCAGCTTCCAAAGAGAGATGGCCTGTGTTCCTCACAGGGAAACTTCTCAGACTTAATGTCAGCTAAAAAAAACTCCAAGGTGGGGGGAGGGGCAAGATGGCGGAAGAGCAGGGTCCCCAAATCACCTGTCCCCACCAAATTACCTAGATAACCTTCAAACCATCCTGAAAATCTACGAATTCGGCCTGAGATGTAAAGAGAGACCAGCTGGAATGCTACAGTGAGAAAAGTCCGCGCTTCTATCAAGGTAGGAAGACGGGGAAAAGAAATAAAGGAACAAAAGGCCTCCGAGGGGGAGGGGCCCCGCGAGGAGCCGGGCTGAGGCCGGGGCGAGTGTCCCCAGGACAGGAGAGCCCCGTCCCGGAGGAGCAGGAGCTGCACCAACCTTCCCGGGCGGGCGGAAAGGGGCTCGCAGGGAGTTGGAGCAGGACCCAGGAGAGCGGGGATGCCCTCAGGCTCCCTGGGACACTAACAGACACCTGCGAGCGCAGGAGAGTGCTCCGAGCTCCCTAAGGGCTGCAGCGCGCACCGGAGCAGTTCGGAGGGGCTCGGGAGCGGCTCCAGGGAGGGAGCTGCGGGGCGGGAGCGCAAATCCAACAACACAGGCCCCGGAGCACAGGGCGCCGGGACACAGCCCAGGATCCGGCCTCCCCCCGGGACAGGCAGAGGCCGGGAGGGCCCAGGACAGCAAGGACGCTCCTGCCCCGAGCTGAGCAGATCAGCGGCCCCGCCCCGGAGCCTCCAGGCCCTGCGGACAGAGAACCGAGAGCCCCGAGCCCCGTAGTTCCAACTCCAGGCTTCAGGAGTTGCCATAGCAACTGCTGCTGTTCCTCCTGGGGCCCCACGGGGTAAACAACCCCCGCTGAGCCTGGCAGCAGGCAGGGGCAGAGCAGCTCCCCCAAGTGCTAACACCTGAGAATCAGCGCAACAGGCCCCTCCCCCAGAAGACCAGCTAGAGGGACCAGTGATACTCCCCCGTGTTCCAATACAACTTGTTTCTGGCCACTCTGCACTGAGCAAAATGACTAGAAGGAAAACCTCACTTCAAAAGAAAGAATCAGAAACAGCCCTCTCTCCCACAGAGTTACAAAATCTGGATTACACTTCAATGTCAGAAAGCCAATTCAGAAGCACTATTCTACAGCTACTGGTGGCTCTAGAAAAAAGCATTAAGGCCTCACGAGACTTCATGACTGCAGAATTTAGATCCAATCAGGCAGAAATTAAAAATCAATTGAATGAGATGCAATCCAAACTAGAAGTCCTAACGACGAGGGTTAACGAGGTGGAAGAACGAGTGAGTGACATAGAAGACAAGTTAATGGCAAAGAGGGAAAAAAACTCCAAGGTGCTGAAAAGCATGTGTGTGTGTACACACACATACAAGTTCTAACAGCTGCACAACAAGCTTGTCTGACTTTGTACACACACCTGAGAAAGGAGAACAGCCCAACCATACACGGAAGCACCTCTGAGAAGGCTGCAGCATGCCTGCATTCTACTGTGCGTCTGGACTGTGTGCAGTGACAATGTGGCCCTGTATAACTCACACACTTTTTAGAAACTGTCATTAAAAAATAATAGGAGGGTCCCCTAGCTCAGGCCCTTGAGGATGATGAGGGAGGCTGTCCAGACAGCCTCTTGGGTGAGTGACACCAAAGATGGGAGCATAGGTAGCCTAGGAGGGTGGGGACTTGAGAGATGGCAGGCCAGGCTGCACAGTGCCCCTGTCCTCACCTTCCCTATACCTCTTCACAAGGACCAACACAGCCCTGTGCCTTTATCCCCACCCCAGGCTGAAGCACACAGGAAAGGAGAAGAGTCAGGCTGCTTCTCCCAACCGATAGCCCCAGCTGTCAGTGCCATGGCCCTATCCCAGCAGAGTCAGCTGAGGGGGCTCTAAATGCTCCTCTGTAAACATGGCAGGAAACCATTTCCTCACACTTGGTCAAATCTGCTAGACAAATTTGTGTACTAAGAGCACACAGGGTCAGCATTCTCTGGGTGTGAGGCGGGGCTGGAGGAGTGTCCACCCTGAGAGTCTTCCTGCAGGAATGACAAGGACAGGGTGGGGTGGGCTCAGCAAGGGCCATCCTGTCACCAAGCAGCTGGGAGCAACTGTCACTTGGGTACTTCCCAAACGGGGGTGCAAGTGTCTGTCTGGCCTCTTCCCAGAGGTTAACATCTTGGGTTGGAGAAGCTTGAGGAGCCCCAACCTACCTCCAAAGAGAAGACTGAGAAAGTGGAGGTGGCCAGCACTTGGGCCAGAGAGGGCCCGAGGTGGGTAAAGGCAGCAGGTCACTGGGAAGCATGGAGAAATAAACAGGTGACACAGTAGAGGTAAAGCACCCAAATTATCCAGTCCAGGCTGGGTGGCCTATATCTGCAGGGGCTTCTGGCTACAGGGAGGTGCTGCCCAGGTGCCAGGCTCATCCAGGGGTCTGCTAGCCTTCTCTTTCACAGGCACAGCCTGATTGCCCTTCTGCAGAATTCATTTTCTGGAAGGCCTCAGAAATCACAGGAGCCGCTATGGGGAGTGAGCCCAATGTGGAAGGGGCCTGGAGCACCCAGCTGCCAGCTCAGACGTGCCCCAGGTTTACAGGCATTGAAGGTGCTGGTCTCCTAAACTCTATCATCAGGAAGGGTAAGCACTCCACCCATGAGTAAGAGAGGGAGGCTGGCTCTCTCCTTCCAACATTACTGCATAGTTTCTGAGGGCAAATACTCAACAGCTATTTTCTTGAGCATCTACCATGTGCCAGAGCCTGAATTAGGGTCATTACCCCATTATATAACTGGATTTCTATAATTACTCTTCAAGGCAGGTAATAACAGTAGCTCATTTTATAACGGAGCTCAGGGAAACTAGCTAGCTGCCTGGCTCTAACTTCAATTTAGCAACTGCAAAAAAAAAAAAATTTGCACAACACTGACAAAAAGCCCATTTCATTAATATATAAAAAGTTCTTATAAATCAATATGAAAAAGACCAATAATCTAATAAGAAAATTAACATGAGTTGAAATGACATGGAAGAAGAAATCAAAACTACTAATGTCATATCATGGGCAATCCCACTAAAAATAAATGGAACACTATAGCATTTCTCACCTACTGAAGAGCATATATGAAACAGTTAAATAATAAAAAGTATAGAAGTCTGAAAAAAATGAATCTAAGTTTGGGAATGTGGGCTGGATCTTTGGAGGATACTATCCTCTAAAACTTGAAAGGCACCACAAATCCTTTGACTAGGAAATTGTTTCTAGAAATTTATCCTATGAATGGGTTCCCACATAGCAAAGGTATATATATGAAACAGAAATAACAAGACTAGAAACCACCTAAATGCCCATCAGTAGGGGATGGGTAGGTAAACTGTGACATATCCATATGTTAGGAATACTATATAGCTACCAAAAACAATGAACCAGTTCCTAGATACCAAGATATATTTTTAAGTGAAAAAAAAAAAACAAGTCAGAAGCACATGTACTTGTCCTTTGTGTACATTTTTGTGCCCTGGCTTATAAATAGGCAGACACCTTCTGGAAGGATACACACAGGATGAGGACAGTGGTGGCCGTGGGATGGTAGCTGTGGCCTAGGCATCTGGATAGGAGGGAACTTCTCTTTTTCTACAAACCCTTGGTACTGTGTAGATTGATTACAGATTACATCTACTGATTGTCTATAAAATATCCACAGGGAAAGAGGGCTGGCAGATGCAGAGCTCCTAGGCTCCGTGGCCCCTGCCTGGCCACTAGAAGGTCATAGCCTGGGACAAGAGAAGAGCCACAGACCCAGACACCTCACTGCCTAGCTGGCTCTCAGTGGGGAGGCCCCCATTGCCATGTGCCTTGAGAACCAGCCTTTGACACACCCCTCCAGACCCAATACCTGCTCTCCTCAGCTTCTGTGCAGACCCACTCTACCCTTCAGTTTCCTTACATGTAACCGGGAATCAGGGAAAACAGAGAAGAAACCAAAGCTCAGAGGGTCTGGGTAACTTGCCAAAGCTACCCAGCTGGGAACTGGCTGTGCTGGGAGGGGTGGATGAGGACTTGCTGCTAGAGCAGAGCGAAGGACCAGCTGTCTCTGTGTAGGACAGAGCAAATGACGGAGGGCTGGGCCTGGGTGGGGTGGCCAGGAAGGGTAGATGTGGGTTTTAGGGGGCCCCAGGATAGAAAGCAGACAGACTTGGTAACAGGCCATGTCCTGGCCAACGGGTGGGTCTCTACCCTACACAGAATGTCAAGGCTGGAAGGGTACTAAGAGCCTAGCACTGGCTTTCAAGCCAAACTTGTTTTTGAAGCAGTAGACCTGCCTTTGGTCAGAATTTCCTAGGTGCTCAAGACCACATGGGGCACCTGGAGCTGCACCAGGAGAAGCAGACCATGGGCCTAGAGCCCCTTCACTACTGCTTGCTGTGGCCCTAGAACATCTGGGGCTCCAGAGAACACACTGAGCTCATCCATGCCTCTCCCCACAGAGGGGTAAACCAGTGCCAGAAGGGGGCAGCGACTTGCCATTAGTCACTCAGCAGGCACAGCCCCACTCCCGAGTCTGGCGCACTCTCGACTGCGCCACCCTGCCCGCCCTCTGAGGATGCCGCAAAGCCGTGGTCCTGGGAACGCCCGCCCAGGGGGCCATTCGCACGCGCCTCCTGCGCAAAGCAGTGCAGCAAGCAGCCTCGGAAATCAACAAGGCAAAGTACTCACGTTGAAGAAATTGGTCTTGTTCCTCTCGCAGAAGAGCCCCTGTGCCGGCATGTGCTGCAGTTGTTGCCACGGGATACCGCTGCCTAGCAACACGTCGCGGGCCCACTGGAGGTTCTGGGGAAACAAGAAGTAGGTTGGAAGTGAGTGTGTGGGCAGCTCACGGCGCCCACGGGGAAGGGAGGCAGTCCCCTCCTTCCTGGCTGCGTTGGCAGAGCGGGGATGAGCAGCGGCTCCTGCAGATACTGATCCCGCAGCTCCAGGGAGCTCTGGCTGCGGGCTTTGATCATCTGGCTGTGGGGTACATTTCCGGAACTGATTTCCTGCCTAGCACTGGCTGACTTAGGAGAGTGTGGCCTTAGATTGCCCAAGAAGGGCACAGATAGGGACCCCCACTTGAAAATCTGCTATGTGGACCTAGCGCCCTGCCTTCTGTCAGGAGGACCCCCACTGGCCCAAAGGGTCAGCCTTGACTTGTCAGGATGTTAGCAATACTCATCGCAGCTGGGAGACAGCCACTTTAGGCTTGGAAGAGCTAGTCTCTGTAGGATGCCAGGGGCCTAAGTGCTTGGGAGGGGAGGGGGGGTTCTATCCACAGTGCTCAGGCCAGTGCTCCCTGGGCAACCATGCCTCTTGGAATCCAGGCCCAGGGGCCTGGTAGGGTGGGAACAAAAGCCTCCTACCCCAAGTGGGACCTGGGGGCAGCCTGAGAGGCTAGGTATGGGCCTGGCTCCTTTGGCCTTCTCTGGGACCTTCTCACTGACTCAGAGAGCAGCCCTTCCCCACCAGCTGCCTGGTCAGCCACCTTCCCATCTCAGGTCTTTCCCAGGGAGGCTCCCACACCAGGACCATCTCACCACCCAGCACCTGGGACAGTGCTGCCTTAGAAGGGAGAAGCCAGCAGGGGGCAGAGTTAGTACTGGAACCTGAACTGCCCAACATCAGCTCCTCTTTTCCACAGCGCCCATTCCCCCATCCTGCCCCCCAGCCAATCAGTACTCCTTCTCCACTCCCGTCCAGGTCCCTTCCTTATCTCTCTCACCCTTGGTGCCAGGCCTTTATCACCTCGTGTCCCAATTGCTTAATGCCTTTTCACGTCTCAGCCTGCAAACCTGTCTCACCTGCTCCCACTGTACTTACTACTGGTCAGGCTGAACTTAAGAAATAGTCCCCCTAGTCACAACTTCTGGCAAAAGTGCAAGCCCCAGCTCCCTGGCTTGCTGGCTGGGGGCCCCTGCTGGCCTGCATCCGAGCTTCTGCACAGAGGGACATGCCCAAGGGGCTGCTATTGGAACTGAGGGCTGCTCTGCACCCAGCACCAGGCAGGACCCTGAAGCTATGAGGGGTGGGACACAGAAATGAGGGTCCCTCTGGGATGGAGACAGGTAAACTTTCAGGCATGCATCTTCTGGATGACACACTCACGGCAGATGAAGCTAGCTCTTCTGTGAAAGCCCAAGGGAGAACATCATCTCCTGGGGGAAGCCTGGATGATTAAGCCTGGCAGAGACTCTAAGGCCATTTCCTACAGGGACACGGTTCTGAGAGTGGCTGAAGGCTGAGGCCCGGTAAAGTCAAGGCTGCCCTTGCCCGGCAGGGCTGCAGCCCAGCCTGGTCTAAGCAGCTTTAATGTAGGGGTAGGGGATGGAGGGCCATGAGCAGCCCAGCATGTACGACAGCAGGGAAAAACCCAGCTGGACAAGAGGGCACATATTGTCCACAGCCCTCTACACAGCTGACCCCTCTAAACCTGCACTCAGGAGGCTTGCTTTTTCGCTCAGAGCCCTCCTTGAGCCCAGACACCTGCTCAGACACATCTGACATGCTGAGATCAGAAGCAGACTGAGACTCTTCCTCTCTCACAGACTCCAACCAAAACAGCAAGGCGAGCACAGAGAAGGAATCATACCAAAGGCCGTGTGGGGGCTGCTCTCGCAAAGACTCAGTGACTGTCAGGGAGGTGCAGCCACAGCTACAATCTCCTGAGACATTACTTCTCCAGGACTCTCAAGTCTTTCTAGCACCTCAGGGACTAATGCCATAGTCATTCATGGTGAATGATGAGGCTTCCTGAAGGCCAAGGCACCTCCTCTCTGCCCCTACATGGGTGAGGCAGAAACAGAGGAGAGGAGTCACCTAGGCAGCAACAGTCCCTGGTCCTCAGCCAGGGAGCACAGGGGCCACTCTGCCCTATACACAGGAAGAACAGCGAACTACTCAGTCCCAGCCTTCAACTTTTGAGCTCCAGTGCAATGAGGGATCAACTTGCAGTTCACACTCCGAAGTCCAGAGCAGCGTCCCACAGTCTGGCTCAGAGACCCTGCCTCCCAGACCAGTCTACTTAGAAGCCTCTTAAGGCTGATTACAAGCCTGACCAGTGCTTCTACCAGGGGAGGGAGGGTCGGCCATGGACAAACTGAGTGCAGAGCAGGGAAATAGGGTGGATCAGGTGTGCTTCATTACAAGGAATGAGATCTAACTCAGATTAGTTCAAGCTGGTCAGGGCTCCTCAGGGCCCCGGGACACAGGATCCAAAGAGAAGCTAAAGCCTCAGACCTCCAGCAAGCAGGACAACCACTCAAGCAGCCCAGGAGAGATGCTCACAACCTCTATCAGTACTTAGCCATGATCCCTTGGTCTCAGTGCCATTTGGTTCAAAGTCTCTCTCAAGCAAGATGTGAGAGGCTGCCAGTCTAATCATCCATGAAGGGGAGGGACCTTCACAGAAAGTGACACAAGACAGAAGAACCGATATATGCACTTTGAATATGACAGGTGAGCCCACCTGACCACGACCATGGAGATAAGGCACCCACCTATGGTCCAGCCTAAGGAGGTCAGCGAGGCTCCTAGGGGATATGACAACTAAGCTATGACTGGCACACAGCTGTCACTGAACTGGGGTATCCCTAGAGCATGCATGAAAGCCCCCTCTGGGGCTCCTTTGGGACTTAAGGGAAGTATCCAGTTAGCAGCAGTTTGAGAGGGGTAGGAAAACAAGACTCAAAGAGGCATCTCCGAGGTGGCCATTACTTTCTTTCTTTCTTTTTTTTTTTTTTTTTTTAAGGATTGGCCATTACTTTCATAAGAACAAGAAAACGTGCCTTCCGTGTGACTGGGGATATGTGAGAGAGAAGAGTGTCATGGCCAGAGTAGAGAGAGTGGGAGACTCTGCTTCCTGAGCCAGATGTCCGATTCTAGGCCCCAAGGCTGAGGGGCAGGAACACACATCCCTGTAGGGCTTCGGTTTCTGCCATAACCCTGCAGCTTCTCCCATGACACCTGCACCAAGACAGCCCTTCCCACAAGAACAGTCAGACAGAAGGTGGAGGACCACAGAGGGAGGAGACTGTGGGAGAGGTCCCAGCACTCTTAGAGACCTGAAAACTAGCCACTTGAGAAGAGTGCAGAAAGCACTGGCCTGCCAAACCCGATCAGGATTGTCAATTAGCCTCCTGCAGACTTGGCCCCCGCACACCAGCAGAGAGCAGGGCTCCTCAGCCGTCTCCCAGGCCCGCCAGAGAGATCCGATCGATGGCTATGGCACAAAGCGTCCAGACAGCTCATGGAAGACCTTAGCTAATTTATATCTGAGGCCCCAGATGGGAGCTGACAGGGACAAGGAAACCTGCCCAGAAAACTGACAAGTGCCAGGGAGGGGAGGGGAGGGGTATGGGGAGCTGACCCACCATGGTGCACCTATAATGCAGTCTGCTCTGCAGCTTCATGATATGGGGAGGTGAGACACACACCACCACCTGCACTAAGCACAGCACATCACTCCTCATCCTGTATTCTTGCCAGTTTACCAACAAGGAAACAGCCTCAGAGAGGTCTCGGGGGGGGGGGGGGTTCCTGAATCCCCCAAGCCAGGAAGCAGCAAGCCAGGTTTGCATTCCTGCCCAGACCTGAAGGACTCCAAGGCTTGGGTTCTTATCCTGCACCCCCATCCCAGGGCGGGCAAGTCATTTTACAAATCTATGTGCAGCTCTCAGGCAGTCCTGTCTCAGGTCTTGAGCAACCTGTCACCATGCCACCGGCCTGGAGCCTCAGCTTACCGTCATCTCTGGGAATGGGAGAAACACAACCGGGCCACTTGCCAGTTAACGGCACCAATCCTTCCTGGGATCCATGGGCCCCTGAAGCTTAGTGCACAAACCCTCCTCTGACAGAGGGCAGAATGCACTAAATGCCCTAACAAGGGGCAGAAGGAGGACAGAGTCCTGTTGAGAGACAGGGAGAAGAATCCCTGGAAGCACGCGGCACCTTGATGTCCTCCACCAACTTCCTTTCGCCTGGACATTCCTATCCTGGCATAAGGCAGAGGGACCCTCCTGACTCCTCCGCTTGAAGGCCTCAGCTCCCTCAGACTGAAAGCCAGCTCCACACCTCAGTTCACTCACACACATGCAAGTTCATCTCCTTCCCTCCCCTCTCCCATCACGCGCAGCCCTGCAGCCATTCCTGCCTCTGCCCCCACCATGGCCCTGCAGGTCTCTCGGCCTAGCATCATCTCACCCCATTCCCACCTGCTGCTCAATACTGTCCTCACAGCCTCACGGCTACCTTAATAGACTCCCTGCTGACTGTGACGGCTTTGTGGTCTGCCCCCCTTTTGTCTGTCAGACCCACGAGGTGGCTCCACATGGGGCTAGACCAGTATGGGGTCCATGGAAGGGCTGTGACAAATATTTGGGAGGAGTGAAAGGAATGGGCAGTGTTCGGGTTTGCGGGACAGTCTGAGGTGCTGAGGCAGGAAGGTGCCAGCAGTACGTGGTGGGGATGGAGCCCAGGACTGGAGGCAGGAGTGCTGGGGCAGAGCCCTCATCCTGGGCTCCCCACCCAAGGAAGCTGTTGGGAAAGGAACTGCTTGAGAGCTCATGTGTGGGCAGGCTGGAGCACAAAGGCCATCTTTTTTTTTTTTTTTTAAGATTTTATTTATGAGAGAGAGAGAGAGAGAGAGAGAGAGAGAGAGAGAGAGGCAGGCAGAGGCTCCATGCAGGGAGCCCGATGTGGGACTCGATCCTGGGTCTCCAGGGTCACGCTCTGGGCTGAAGGCGGCACTAAACCGCTGAGCCACCCGGGATGCCCTCAAAGGCTATCTTTTAAGACATCTT